ATACCATCCTGAATCATGTCGTCTTAAAGATCGTGGGGAGAATGAACGTTAGGTATTTCAAACTCCCTTTTGGATTAAATGAAAATTTCAAAAGTGTTTTCCATATCCCTCAAGCAACTTTAAAAATTTTGCCATTGGTGAAGAACGTAAACACGTACACACACGCCGCCTTGCTTTTCGGTTCCCTGGTAGCTAGACTGTTCTGTCAGGTGCTTTATATATGCTTAATTGTCACCTGAATGAGATAGGTACTGTGACAGTCAGTTTTATGTGTCAACCTCGGTTAGCCCATGGTATCCAGAAATTTGGGTGAAACACCAGTGTGGAAGTTTCTGTGAAGGTATTTTTTCGATGAGATTAAGATTTATTATTTACTTTTTAAGCTTGGTTGATATATCCTTTAATCCTTATTAATTCACTCATCCGTTCAACAAATGTTTTGGTGCTAGGCGCTGGTCGCTGGTCGAAGTACGCAGGACAGAGGGAGGTGGAGAAAGCAGTCCAAGGGAAATCTTCCTGGTAGCCAAGGGGGGTGGGGTTCTGAGTTATAGACTGAGCGCCTATAGTAACCGATCGATCGGAGATCCAGCCGTGCCAGCTACCCGAGAATCTGGAAACCAGGTTGGGAGGCAGAGGGGGCTGCCTCTGGAGGGGGTGGGAAAGGGAGGTTGTTTAAAACATGCCCCACGTTGGGTTGTATTAGGTAGGACCTGGTTTTCAGCAAGGAGATAAAGGTTCAAGCCGGTGACTGACAAAAATGCTGTTTCTCCCCAAGTGTTTGCTGCCTGAGGGCTGACTCTCTGCAGGGCATTTCCACAGAAGGTCCCAAGCTACCAGTCAGGAAGGTGACTAACAGGGTCCCACTAAACTTCATACTTCCCCAAGAACAACTGAGTCACAGAGCCAAGAGCCAAGGCAGGGGACTTGACCACAGATGTCTTCTACCTTTAGCAAAACTGTTGTGTTACCGGTTTCGCACCTGCAGGCCCGTGTGTCTGATCCACAACCCTTCTCCCCTCCAAGGCCCACATCCTGTTCTTATGGCTTCCTTCTAGTAGACGCCATCAGTTAGCCTAGCCTGTGCTCCACATGCAGGTGGTGTCTTTGGACAGGGTGAAGGTCGGCTGTCTGGGTTCAAATCCTGAGTCGGCTGCCTACTAGCTATGTGACACTGGACAAGTTTCTCAACCTCTCTGGCCTCGATTATCACAGCTGTGATAGTGTGGGTGTTAATAGGTTCAACCTGCTCTAGGATCCTGAGGCTCCAGACAGATACTAATGACTACCACACAGTGCACCTGGCTGGGCTGCTGCGTGAGCAGGGTCTTTCCCCGCAGAGGGACAGACCTGAAGAGGCCATTAGGTTGGGACTCCTCGTTCTAGTCTCAGTCTTCACAGCTAACTACAGGCTTTGGGGCAAACCAGCGAGGAAAGAAATCTACGCCCAGCAGGTAACGTCAGGGAAAGGGGGAGGGTCTCAGTGAGACTGGAGGGGAGGTGGGTGGGGCAGAGACCCAAGCACCGTCACAGAGGTTCCCGCCCCTGCTCTAAGTAGTTTGCTCCCTGCCCCAGTCGGGCTCTGCCTGGCGGGTACCAAAGCTCCTCTCGCACATGGGGCTTTGAGCACGCAGACCACTCTCATCCCGAAGCTCCCCCATGCCAGACCGCATCCTGCCCCCCAACTGCAGTCCTCTTATGTTGGGCCAGAGCCTGGGGTGGGGTGGGGGAGGGGCTGAGGCTAGCTCTCTGAAGAGATTAACATTTAAATGGGTAGATTTTCAGTAAAGCAGATCACCCACCATGATGTGGGTGGGCCTCATCCAGTCAGTTGAAGGATTTAAGAGATTGAATTCCCCACTGAAGAGGAAATCTGCCTCCAGCCTGCCTTTGGACATGAGCTGCAATGTCATTCTTGCCTACGTCTCCAGTCTGTTGGCCTAACCCTGCCCATTTTGGATCTGCCAGCCTCCAGAATCACGTGAGCCATATTCCTAATTCCTTAAAATCAATCAGTCTGTCCATCTTTTTGGCACTATTTCTCTGGAGAATCTTGGCTGATACAGGTACTTGAGATGATGTAGGATGATGTATATTATGAACCCCCAGAAAGCAGCTGGGTAGTCAGAATATTGTCATACCAGCTTGTAAGCAGGCTTTGAAGCATAGGTCTTTAACACCGTAAAGAGTCCAGGCAGCAGAGTTATCCTGCAAAGGCAGAGATACAAGCCCTATATAGTCTTTGGATATATGCAGCAAAGGAGACGTGGGAGAATAGGAAAAGTGGAAGTTAGAAATAAGCCTCTGAGGGGCACCTGGGTGGCTCAGTCCGTTAAGGGCCCGGCCCTTGGTTTTGGCTCGGGCAGTGATCTCACGGCTTCTCAGTGGGTTCGAGCCCTGCATCTTGGTTCTGTGCTGATAGTGTAGAACCTGCTTGGGATTCTCTCTCTGCCCCAACCACACTTGCGCTGTCTCTGTCTCTCTCAAAATGAATAAACTTAAAAAAAAAGAAAAAGAAAAAATCCTCTGAGATGGCAAGGAAGGAAGTAACACTTCATTCACAGTGGGAGCAAAATGCCCCCTTCCTGTAAGGATTAACCCCTGCCGTGGTGTGTTAACTTCTAGAGCCAGGCATCTCCTTCAGCTTCATTGAGGCTGCTTTCAGTACGTGGTTTTGATTCTTGCAGCATAAAATGGAAAATGTGCTGGCATCCCAGGTAAGTGTAGGAGTGGGAGCCACTCATTGGTGGCTGGTGTAAAGCATTATGTTGGAGACTTTACACATGTTCCATTCATTACTGGCTTTTGAATGTAGAACACTTGTTTAAAGTCATTTTCACTGAAAAGGATTTATATTCCAGGGGGCAGGCTTGAATACTTGAAGTATCATCTACAAGAATCCTGTGGGATAGTCCAAAACATGGACACAGGGAACAAAGTCTCTAATGTATATCTAGAAATTTAGAAGAAAGACTAGTTTATAAAAAGAGAGCTTATTTGGGGTGACAGAGTATTTTGTTGATCCCTGGAAGGGAAAAGATGTGAGCAAGTGGTCAATAAACCTTACTAGCAATGAGTTAAACTGACATCAGGTCCCTCTTTGATGTGATGCATTGAGAACATGATGTCACTTAGCTGAGATTCCTGCCCAAAACAGATAACCGAAATCTATTCATGAGAAAACATCAGATAAACCCAAGTTAAGAGATATTTTATAGAACTGGTCTAGACTCTTCAAAATGTCAGTGCTATAAAAGACCAAGACTAAGGGAACTGTTCTGAATTGAAGGAGACATGGCGACTAAATGTAATATATAGTTCTAGATTGGATCCTGGATGAGGAAAAACTACAAAAGACATTATGAACTATAGACAATTAAATCGTATCAATGTTAAACTCCCTGAATCTTAGAATTGTACTGTGGTTATATGAGAGAACATCTTTGTTCTTAGGAATACACCCTGAGGGACGCCTGGGTGGCTCAGTTGTTAAGCGGCCGACTTCAGCTCAGGTCATGATCTCTCAGTTCGTGGGTTCGAGCCCCGCGTCAGGCCCTGTGCTGACAGCCAGCTCAGAGCCTGGAGCCTGTTTCAGATTCTGTATCTCCCTCTCTCTCTGACCTTCCCCTGCTCACGCTGTGTCTCTCTTTCTCCCTCTCAGAAATAAAACATCTTAAAAAATTTATATATATATAAAAAAAGGAATATACCCTGAAATGCTTAGGGGTAAAGAAGAATCATGTCTGCAACTTACCCTCAAATGATTTGGAAAAACAAACGTACACACACACACATTTAGAAAGAAAAGCATTAAAGCGAATAAGCAACTGACTGTTCTCAATAAAGAATATCAGAGTTCACTCTGTACTGTTCTTGCAAATCTTCTGCACATTTGAAATCATTTCAAAATAAAAAATCTGAACAGATTTTTTTTAATGCATAACAATATCTCAGTTAGATTTAGTGAATGATAGAGGCATTTGGGATCATTTAATCCATGATTGCTCTAATCCTACACAAAATTAGTTCGGTGACGGAAAGTAACCCAAACTTATCCACACACACTGCAATAAATCGTTTCATTTGGAACCAGCCCAAAAAGAAGACCACAGAGGAATGTTAGCAGCTGAACTGCTCCCTTTTTTAATACAAAGTACACCTGGGGTCAGGATCTACCAAGGAGGACTTCCATGGCTCCTTCACAGAATGTTTCAAATAGATGTAATTAATTGCTAATAAATCAGATCTCTGGTGACAGGGCAAGCAGTTGGGGAAGATTCTTCGATGGAGTAAAGAGACTGTTTTCATGTAGGAAATAGGAATATCTGGATTAATCCGAGCTATCCCATTTGCTTTCTTTCGTGGAAATGAGTCAGACTCAATATTGAAATCCTGGATGACTATAAAGTGCATTTTGCTGTGGAATTATGCAAAAAGACCCTAGGAAATAATTACTGATTTGTATATCCTTACACATTCTTTGATTCTCATGATCGTTCTTATCAAATATTCAGTACAAATACTAATTTCCCATTTTACTTACAGAAAAACCCATATAGGGAAATGATGCAACCGGCTCAAGATTTCCTAGATAGTAATGGGCAAAACTTGAATTTGAACTGATTTACTCTGCTAACCAGCCTGCAAGAGTTTTGACAGGAGTTACAGATTTACCTCCATTTCACACGCTGAGAACTTTCTCAGCTTTTGCAAATCAAGAAGGCCATTCTCTTCAGGTTCACCCGTATGTTAAATAAGCACTTGTAAGGACTGCACTCTACAACCTCTTGTTTTATTTAGCTATAAAATGGGAATGATAGTCACCTACCCACAGTATGGGCGTTACTGTAGAAATCCAATATAAATTTCATAAATGTTCTCACAGATTTAAAAAGAGCCACAAAACTGATTGCTATCAGTATTACTGTTAAATAGCATTCTCTAATTCATGTTAAAATAATTTGATGTTTTCGATGATGATTCGGCAAAGCAAATGATCATACCTCCTTTCTTGGTAGCTTTGGCAGCTTAGGTGGTTTGGAAGCTCTTGGCAATTCTGCCATGCTCTGCTTGACAAGGAGAGCCCCTTTGGAATTTCTTTGATCAGTGTTCTCATAATCACCCATATGCCAGGCAATACTACCGCGGCTGTATCTTCCTTGCGTATCCATAATACTAGGTTTCGGTTGCCTGAAACAGGAACAAATTAGCTGGTTCTCAAATTGGAAAGATCTAGAAACCAGGCCACTAGTTTTCAGAGAGTTGAGATTTGTGTCTGTTTCTCTTGTGATTTGAGACAACTTCTAGCCATGTGGCTCGAGAAACCTAAGGACCGGAAACATCGGCCCGTGTTCTGAGAAGTTTCTAGACTCTGCCTAGGCTACTGGATGTCCAGCTGCTGGAGGCCCAGGAAACCACCTCCTGGGATAGATACTTACCTAGAACACTGTACCATGACTGCTCCTCATGTCCTTCAGAGCCATGCATACAGGATGCTCAGGGTGGCATGTTCCAGCTGAGACCTCAGGAGACCTATGAGTTCTGCAGGACCTGGTCTCTCCACTTTGAGATCTCAGGGGAATTCAGAAAAACTCTAACTTCATGATTCCAGAGTCTGGTGTTGGACAGCATGTTAAAGGAAAGATCTAGTCTTCATTCTCTTTCCCAATTGAAATCCTGGTCTAGGTTTCAACATCTCTAAATTAGAATACTCTCTAAGTCCTGCCTTCCTGTTATAAAGGGCCAGCTCTGGGGCACCTGGGTGGCTTAGTCAGTTAATCATCCAACTTTGGCTCAAGTCATGATCCCACAGTCTGTGAGTTCAAGCCCAAGAGCCTGCTTCAGATTCTGTGTCTCCCTTTCTGCTTCTCTCTGGCGTGTGTTCTCTCTCTCTCTCTCTCTCTCTCTCTCTCTCAAATGAAAAATAAAAAATGTCTTTTCAAAAAAAAACATTGAAAAAAACAAAAGGGCCAGCTCTGGGGAAAAGGCAAAAAGGATCCTAGGATAGGATTTGCCTTCTCATTTGGAAATGTGTGGTTCTGGAGAGTCTTTTGGAGCCTCTTACCTGACCATCCCTCTACCTCGAGGCTCAGAGCCCCTCAGCCACTGCAAATTTCCCCTCCTGGAATTTGAGCTTTATGGGTTCCCAAGTTCTTTGGACCAAGATCTGTGTCAGGTTCGCATTATCCTTCTTCACTCTTTCAAGAACATGTGTACGCTTACTCTCTGCCCAGAACCAGAAGGAGGTGCTGGGGACACGGCAATAATAGAACAAAGTCTCTGTTATCATTAAGCTTATCTGCCAGAATGGGAGGCAGACAACAAATAGGTAAGTCAGATATTTAGGAAGTATCATGAAGACAGCAAAGCCAGATAGAAAATGCCAGGCATGCTGTTTTTGTGGGGTGGGCTGAAGAGTGGGAGGTATCATTCCTGCAGAGAGCTCACTGCAGGGAGAGAGCCAGCAATTCTCACAGCGCATAGGGGTCAGACACTCCCTCCCACTCCGTAGAGTCACAGATCCCTGCGTGGGGAGGGACCTGACCATGTCATTCTCCAGCAACCCTCCGCCCCCCCCCCCCGCCCCCATAGCCTTCAGGATAAAGTCCAAATTCCTTAGCACAGCACACAGGGGTGTGTGTTGTTGCTGTTTGGTTTTTGTCTGTTTTCTTTTTTTAAATGGTCTGCCCACATGAGCCTTTCTGGTCTGTGCTCAGCCCATCCCTCCTCCCAAACACCCACATAGTGCTCCATTGTGCACTCACCCTTTCCTCTGGGAACTCTGCAGAAGTCACGCTTTCAGACTTTCAGCCTTCTGCTTCAGTTTCCCCTTTTGCTTGTAATTCCCTCCCTCCTCCTCTCCTGGCAAACTGCAGCCAAGACTTTAAACATCACCTTTTCTGTAAAGACTTTCCCTATTCCTCTCAGGCAGCCATTTTTCTCCTTTGATAGCACATAGTATTTGGATTCTTTTGTAGAAATGATTAGAATATACCTAAATGTCTAGTGCAGCCCTTTGTCTCCCTCTCAACTCACTGCTCCTTGGAGAGCCCTGAATATTTCTCATTCATCATTGGGCCCCTGGTGCTCATTACCTGGACCGACTCATAGTTGACACTCCACTAGTCTGTCGTGGATGGAGTAATGAGGACGAGGGGAGAAGATCAGAGCTGAGTTGCTACAAAGGTTCTTTCCTGCCCACTCCCCTCCATCTGCCTGCCAGCCTCTTCCCCCTCGTGCCACCAGCGGGTACACAGAAGTGGATCCTTATAGTCTGTTTTGTCTGAGTTTTGTTATTTACAAACACAGATTACTAGTTGGAAGTAATTTCAAGAAAGTTTAAAGGACAAGAACTGCTAGTGGGTAGAATGTATGGAACAGGTATTGTTCATAGTTTCTTCTATTAGCTTGATTAAGGATTCACAGGAGAACGCTTTCATCCAGACGTGCCACATTTTCATTAAAAATAATACACTATAACCTGAAACTAATATTATACTCTGTGTCAACAAACTGGAATTTAAATAAAATCTTGAAAAATTTTAAGTCAAAATGTATTCTAAAAGTAATTATACCAAATAGAAAAGGAAAATCCTTGCATGCAGGAGGTCTTCATTTAAGTGCTAAAATATTTTATAATCTTCTATTTTAAATTCAGAATATCCTTCGTCCCTGCATCTTGAATCCCCAGGAGCAATGGAAAGCTAAAAATTAGTTGTCATTCAAAGATTTTGAAGATCTTATAAAAACAATAGCTACATCAACTATGGAGATTTACATGCATTATGTTGAACTTACAACTGAGCCACAAAAGTCAAAAGAGGTCAGCCAAGGAGCAGAAGAAGGTTTGGCTCCAGAATGGTTTGGAGGATGAATGGTAGGCCATCAGCAACGATTCCATGGTATACAAACCCACAGCTGCCAACACACATACACATACACCCCAAAATCAATAAAGCAAAATATTCTTAGTGTAACCATCTTACTATTAATTCTTACGTTAAGTAGCCTCCTAAGGGTCAGATTTTTTTCTTTTTGAAATAATTTCAAGCTTGAAGGAAAGTGGAAGCACAGTAAAAAAGCTTTCCCCCCCGAACAATTTAGAAGTACGTAATTGACATGATACCCATCATTCCCAAAATACTTGAGTGTGTTAATTCCTACAAAGAAGGACATTCTACATAACTGCAGTGTAATTGTCAATGTCAGAAGGAAATCAGCACAAGCAATAAAAGCAAAAATAAACAAGTGGGACCACACCAAACTAAAAAGCTTCTGCACAACAAAAGAAATGATCAACAAAGTGAAAAGACAACCTACAGAATGGGAAAATTTATTTGCAGACCCTATATCTGCTAACGTGTCAATATCCAAAATATATAATTCATACAACCCAAGAGCAAAGAACAACAACAACCAATAATCCAATTAAAAAATGGGCAAAGGGCCTGAAAAGACATTTTTTCCAAAGATACACAAATGGCCTACAGGCACATAAGAAGATGGTAAACATTACCATTAGGGACATAACATAATCATTAGGGAAAATGCAAGTTAAAACCACAATGAGATATCACCTCACACCTGATAGAATGATCATCATCAAAAAGACATAGACAACAAATGTTAGTGTGGATGTGGAGAACAGGGAATCCTTGTGCTCTCTCGGTGGGAATGTAAACTGGGACAGCCACTATGGAAAAGAGTATGGAAGTTCATCAAGAAATTAAAAATAGAACTACCATATGGTCCAGCTATTCTACTTCTGGGAGCATATCCAAAGGAAATGAAAACATTAACTGAAAAAGATAACTGCTCTCCCATATTTACAGAAGCATTGCTTGCAGTAGCCAAGACGTGGAAACAACCTTAATGTCCATTGATGGATGGAAGAACAAAGAAGTTGTGGTATACATACATAATGGAATATTCTTCAGCCATAAAAAATGAGGAAATCCTCCCATTTGCGACAACATGAGTGGGCCCTGCAAAACTACCAACCTCATAGGGGGAAAAAGAAGAAATCAGATTTGGAAGCAGAGGTGTGAGGTGGGGGGAGGAAAAATTAGAAGAAAGTAGTCCAAAGTTTTAAGCTTGTCACAAGGTACACAAGCACTAGGGAGGTATTGTGCACCATGATGGCTGTAGCTAACACTACAGTGTGATGTATAAGGACGGTTATTAAGAGAGTAAATTCTACGAGTTCTCATCACAAAGAAATTTGTTTTTCTTTTTTTTTGTACCTACATGAGATGACAGATTTTACCTAAGGCTACTTGGTAATCATTTCAAAGTGTAGGTAAATCAAACTATCATGCTCTGTATCTTAAACTTATGCGGTGATATATGTCCATTATTCCCCAGTAAAACTGCAGGAAAAATCAGGGTAAATCAGAAAATTAACATATTTGTATTGCTACTACCTAATCCTCAGACACCATTCAAGTTTTCCAATAATGTTCGTTTTGCAAAAGGATCCATTTAAGAACCACACGTTGCATTTAGTTTTCTCATCTCTTTAGTCTTAAATCTGGAACACTTTCCCAATATTCCTGTGGCTTTCACACCACCTTGATACTTTGGAAGAACACGGGCCAGTTATTTTGTAGATATTCCTTAATTTGGGTTTATCTTCTGTTTTCTCTTGATTAGATTCAGGCTATGCATCTTTGGGCAGGAATAACACAAAATGGCGATGGTGTGACATCCTATTATTGGTGAGGTTCACTAAGGTCACTTGATTGAGGTGGTATCTACCATGGTTCTCTTTTGTAAAATTACTTTCCTCTTTTGTTGTTAGTATTTTGTGAGAAAAAGCTTTGACGTTATGTAAAAACCTCATTCCGTGTCAAATGTCCAATTAATTAACATCACTATGGACTCATGATTTCCTAATTTATTCATTGGGTTACAATCCATTCATAACATTCATTTTCATGCTCAGGTTGTCCCAGATTTGGCTAGAGAGAACTCTTTCAATCTGGCTTGTGTCCTTATGACTGCTCCCACCATTCTTTGAGTACTTCCTTACTGTTTAGCCAAAAAAGATATTCCAGGCTCATCTTTCCCTTCCCCACATCTGGAACAATCCATTTCTTAAAGGAGCTCTGGTTCCCTTTAATGGAAAATGATATTTAGAAACCAAGATCCAAGTGTTAGGTATTGCTCTTAGTGTTGAGGTATCACTGTCA